TTTTCTAGGATGTTGTAAGCAAGGGTTCCAGTTTGGGGATGCAGTGATTGAGGGCTTGAATCTGAGCTCTGCTCCTTTATGTGGGGATGATTTTGAAGTGAGCAGAAGTCAGTAAAGTGGAAATGCTCAGTAAAATGGTTGTGGAGTTTCAGTGGATCCGGGCTCGAAGTATGGAGCGCGGGTAAATGATGAAGTGGTAATATTTATGATGGGAGGGGCACACTAATGTATATTTGTGGATTGAAGCGCTCAGGGGTCTTCTAAGAGAGGCTAATCCTTGAGAGGCAGACTAGCTGACAGAGCACAGGGACAAGGAACCTTCAAGCAGGGTAGGAGTAAAAGAGAAATACATAGGCAACAGTTAAGGCTTGTTACCTGCCCCTTCTGGGAACCGTCTCCCAGTGTGGCTTCCACCTTGTTTAATGGAACGGTAGCGCAGTCCTCACCTTTCCTCTCCAGTCCTGTGAGGCAGGGAGGGAGAAGTATGTGTGTCTCTTTGTCTCCTTTCCATGTAGCCCTAGCTGACCCTGAACTAGGCTGGTCTTGAACTGAAAGAGATCAGTCTGCTTCGGCGTCTCCATGTGTCTGGGGATCTTGGGGTGTCCCTGGTCCTAACAAAGCTGGCTGTGCTGCCTTGGCCTTGCTGTGTGTGAGCTGCAGTGCTTGTGCTGCACTTGCCAAGTGTGGGTTTGGAATTGGAGGGCTGCTGAGATTGGACATCAGGAGCCACCAAAGGGATCTTGAGAAGTAGTCACACTACAAGAACTAGAGCCGGTTCCATACGCTGTAAGTTCTTGCTGTGGTGGTACAGTCTCCTTTCATTCCAGCGCACAGGAGAAAGAGACGGACAGATCTCTTGAGCTTGAGACTAGCATGGTCTACACATCAAGTTCTAGTCTAGCCAGGGATACAGAATGAGACCCTGTCTCCAAAAATAAAAAATGTGTTGCTGACAAAAAAGGAGCAGCACAACTCTTTGAAAAAGTGCATCTGGGGCCACCCTGCCCAGGTAGTCACTCTTACTTGGGCTCTGATTGGTAAGGAGTGAGGTCAGAGCTCAGCCTAGGGACAGTCAGTGCTCTAAGAGAAAAGGATCACCCTCCCAGGAGTGTGTGCTGTACTTGTGAGAGGGAACCACAGGGAGAATCCAGGCTGGAAATGTCCCAGCCTGCATGGAAGGGCTTGAGTAGGAGTTACTATGGAAGAGAGAACTTGGACTTTGTCCTGTTGTTAGCAGGAAGCCATGAGCAGGTATTGAGTGGTGGAGGGCCATGGTCAGTGCTTTTTGACCAAAATCATGGGGACGTGCATACTTCCTTCTGTCCCATGGAGGTTCAAGGACTACCTCATGTCCTCCCTCCCTCCAAAAAAGGTCAGGAATTGGGCTGGGCTGGCCTGGCTGTGGTGACCCTGGTCTTCTCCTGTCTCCAGAGAGATCTTGGTAGAAGAGAGCAACGTGCAGAGGGTGGACTCGCCAGTCACAGTGAGTACTCTCTGTCTCCTGGACCCTGACTTGGTCTTTTAAGACATGTGGGAAATCCTAAGTGGTTTGATAACAGCTCCCAACTCTAAGTTAATGAGAAGCTAGGCCATCCTAGGTCTCTTGCTTCTCAATCATCAGGTGAGCCCTGATACAAGAATTAGATGGTGGGTAGAGCTTGCAATTTAGTGTTTTCCCAGTATATATGATGTCCTCCTGAGTTCTATCCTCTGCACCACAAGAAAGTAAAAGATGCTGTAGGAATTTTGATTTGTCCCGGTGAAGCTCACAGCCTAGGCAGAAGTTGTGGATCAGTAGCCTTGTGTTTGAGCACATAGCGATAAACAGATGAAGCCAGTCTTCTGAAGCTGCACATCTATCTGGAAAGGCATGTCTGTACCATAGCAGTTGGCTTTCGGTGTGATAGCTGACACTAGAACAGGCTCACTTGGGCTAGAGGGTAGAATTTGGGTCCTGAGATGGGGTGGTACTGCCCTGGCTGGCCTGGAAATTAACAGGTGTTTTGAAGGATGGTGTCTGGGAACAAAGGGATTTTGCCTTTGTCCACTCTTTCAACCCACATTCTTTCCAGGTTTGTGGTGACATCCATGGACAATTCTATGACCTCAAGGAGCTTTTCAGAGTGAGTGGGGGATACTGGAACTGTGAACCTGGGGTGACAGGAAGACGTGATCATTGATAGGCCTTAGGCTGCATGGTCTCTGGGTGAGAGAAGGGGCTCAGCTAGACTCTGGTTGCTGTAGCCAGAGAGGATAGTCTGGGGCCAAGCAGAGCCATATCCCTCCTCCCAGGTAGGTGGCGATGTCCCTGAGACCAACTACCTCTTCATGGGAGACTTTGTGGACCGTGGTTTCTACAGTGTTGAAACCTTCCTCCTCCTGCTGGCTCTTAAGGTGAGGACCCTTGACCCCTGGAGCCTGAGCCTTGGCCACTACTTGCTGCCCTCATCACCTTTCCTGTCACCTACCTTGGAACTTTGCTGTGGCTGTGGACTGTGTGCTTAGCGGGGCTGGTCATGACTGCTGCCGTGAGTGGGGCCATCCCCTGAGCCCTTGCAGAAGAGGCTGGTGATGTGAGTTCTGGGAAGCAGGCAGAGGCTGTGTGTCCAGGGAGCAAGAGTGAGTGAACTGGGAGAAGTCACTGGTGAAGGGCCACATGGGGTGAGGGTGGGTGCTAAGGACTAGAGCCTGAGTCTGGCAGATGAGAGGGATCCATTAGTTTTGTAGTGCTTCTCTGGAAAAGGCTCCCAGGAGCCTGTGAGGAGGACACTGATTTCTGTAAGAGATGGCAGAGACTGAGTGAGGCTGATGGATACGTCTTGGAGACTTGGGAGGGGTTAAGTGGGAGATGGAGACTAGAACCAGTTCCTGCTTCGTGCTGTCCCTAGGTTCGATATCCTGACCGCATCACTTTGATCCGGGGCAATCATGAGAGCCGCCAGATCACCCAGGTCTATGGTTTCTATGATGAGTGCTTGCGTAAATACGGCTCGGTGACTGTGTGGCGCTACTGCACTGAGATCTTTGACTACCTCAGCCTGTCTGCCATCATCGATGGCAAGGTAGGTTAGCCCTGCGTCTCCTCGGGAGCGGGGCTGTGCTGGGTCTTTGGGTTTCTACCTCCCTTCTCTCTGGTATTATTCACCCTTCTAGATCTTCTGTGTGCATGGGGGCCTCTCCCCTTCCATCCAGACCCTGGACCAGATCCGGACAATTGACCGAAAGCAGGAGGTACCCCATGATGGGCCCATGTGTGACCTCTTGTGGTCTGACCCTGAAGGTGAGGGCAATGCCTGGTCTGACTGTACCTTTAGCTTGTGAAGACTGGGTTAAGCAAGTGTATGAAGTGGAAGGAGGAGAGTCAGGCTGGGAAGAGGAGGGCAAGTTTGGCCTATACTGGCTTCTGACTGGACCCTCCATGAGGAGCATGAATGGTGGGTACACTGAGGTCTACCATGGGTTGGCCCATGGATTTCATGGTTCAGAGGGTCTGTTCAGGATGAAACCTTTGGCTCCCTGGGGGGAAGAAGTCATAGACCTTGACAGTAGCTTCTTTGGAGGTGAGACCCGTCCCCATAGAATGAAAACCTCTGAGGGCTCCTTATTTTGTATGGTCACCCTCCTCCTCTAGTTGGGGGCAGAACTGAGATTTGAAGCCTGGCTTTCTGAGTACCAGTCCTAAGCATACCCTCTAACCCCACCACTGACACCATGTGGCTTAAGGTGACCTTACTGCCAGGAAGTCCTTGGTTATGGCAGGTGCTCTGGGTGTGAGCACTTCCTGTCACTGAAGTGCTGCTTGTGCAGCACATTGTATGGTCACTGTCATGAGGAGGTCCCAGCCACGAAGCAGTCTTTCTCCTCAGAGCTTCTCTGCTCCACCATTTGCTATCCTGTCTCCCAGGATTCCCTAGAATAAGCCTCTGGTTGATGAGGGAAGAGGGCTTTAGTTCTGTGGTATAGTAGGTAACCAGAGGAACCCACACACTGTCCTTGTCTTGTCTCAGACACAACAGGCTGGGGAGTGAGCCCCCGTGGGGCAGGCTACCTGTTTGGCAGTGATGTGGTGGCCCAGTTCAATGCAGCCAATGACATTGACATGATCTGCCGTGCCCATCAATTGGTGATGGAAGGTTACAAGTGGCACTTCAATGAGACCGTACTTACTGTGTGGTCAGCACCTAATTACTGCTACCGGTAAGCTGGCGGGACCAGGAGTCAGGGTAGGGGCAGGGATCTAGGCCAACCGTTGCTAACTGTGCTGTTCCTAACACAGCTGTGGGAATGTGGCAGCCATCTTGGAACTAGATGAGCATCTCCAGAAAGATTTCATCATCTTTGAGGCTGCACCACAAGAAACACGTGGCATCCCCTCCAAGAAGCCGGTGGCTGACTATTTCCTGTGACTTCTAGGCCCCAGCCCCTCTGGCCCTTGGACCACTGTGACTGCCCTCTGCCCAGTCGGAGGCCAGGTGTGGAGGGGCTGCCTGGCTTTGCTTGCCCCAGGGTGCGGACTGCTCTGGAGAGGTTGGGGCCTCCACTCCAGGCTTCCTCTCCTTTCTCCCACTTGATCCTTGAAGTTTCCAGTCATCTTTTTTTTTTTTTTTTTTTTCTTTCGTTTTGTTTTTAGATAAACATTTTGAGAAAAAAAAGAAAAAAATTCTAATAAAAGAAGAAAAATAGCCTTGAGGCTGTTGTGTCAGGTTTGACTGGAGTGGACATGGAAACCAGTCCCGCTTGTCCACTGGCCCCGAGCCTTCAGGGTCCATCTGGCGATCTTTCCCAGAGGCTTGCTTAGTGCTGGGTAAACGCCAAGTTTCAGGACAGCCTTAATTCTTAAAACAACTATTATGAAGAAATTTACCCATCTTCCTGGAGGGGGACATGCCCAGAGCAGGCTGCTACACATCCACAAGGGCAAGCATCTGGAACCTGCTTGGATCTGCCCTTAAAGCTGTGACTCCCCAGCCCCACCCAGGGCCAACACCATTAGCTCAACATTTCCTGAGCACTAATGTCTTTTGAGTTTTATTAACAAAAATACTCTGATCCTGAGAACAAACTGGTGTGGCTTACACCAGTGATGAGGCTCCCGGGAGGTGGGGGCGCTGGGCTGGGGCCCCCATTTGGCCAGGCAAAGTCTCCCTCCATTCACACTGAGGTGAGAGCTGGGAAGGGGAAGCTGGCCCCAGCTGGATTCTGAGCAGCCTTGCCTGAGCTTTGAAGCCAGAGGGGGTGGAGTGAAATCAAGGTGTGAACTAAGGGGTAGAAGAGAGGCCCAAGACAGCCATTTGGTGGGGGGGAGGGGGCACCACTTGAATGAGGGTGCTACCAGGCTGGGGGGAAGGGAGCTGGAGATATTAAAGGGAAGATGGCGTAGGCCCCGTCTTGGCTTACTGCATCATGGCTCAGTACATCGGCTTGGATCCCATATCCAGATAACCTCCAGGTCCTGGGTATGGTAGAGGGAAGGGGCTCCCTTGAATGAAGTGTGGGGCAAAGGATGTTACAGATGGAGCTGCATGATAGGCAGAACCCCCTGGTCCAGGCTGTAGCTCCAGGAATGCAGCTGAGTAGGGGGCTGGGCGCCCAGGGTCTGGAGCCTCTGGGAAGCTGGGGCTCCTGAAATCAGGAGAGAAGTGTCAGAAGAAGAGAGGCACAGCCCCTCCTGCAGCACCCAGCCCTCTGCTCTGTTACCTTACCTGGCTGGTAGGTGACTGGGAACCCCATGGAAAGCTGCAGGGTGCAGGAGGTAGGCCTCAGCACTGGGACCACCACAGGGAGGGGCTGGGGCTTGCTCTGGATCTGAATCTCGAATGTCCCCACCCAGTGTGGAGTCACAGGGCCCCCCTGGTGTATCTGAGGAGACAAAAGGCACAGGTTGGCTAGGGAAGGCTCAGTGTCTCAGGTTTGGCCCTATTGCCATCAGGACAGCACTCACCCCCACTCCCACAGGCCTCTGTGGCCACTGGCTCTGGGCCCTGAAGTTTCCTCTTCACACGGGCATCTCGCTCCCTGGGGAATGATGATGGTGATGATGATGACGGTGATGATGATGGCACTAATAGTACTTACCAGATGCCAGGCATTTCACCCTCCCAGGCACCCTGTTGGGCAGGTGCTATATTATACCCATTTTACAGATAAGGAACTGAAGGCCAGATGTGTTTTTTTCCATGCTTTCCTCCTTGGGTATTAGGATCCGAGAAAGCACTTTCCCAGTTGCAAAGGCTAGGTCCTCTGCCATAGCACACCTTTCTAGAGACTTTCTGCACCTGACTATGCTTGCAGGAAGACCTCCTTGACCTTTCATAGCATCACACGCATCTCCCTCATGACATGTCACCGTCTACATTTGAGCCAGTGAACCAGTCACTGCCTTTTGGGATAGACTAGCTCTCCCAGGGCTTAGGGCAGCTGTACTCAGAGCCTACACCCAAGTCTTTGATTATAAGCAGTATCTGACTTCCGATCACCTCCCCTAGTTGCCTTTCACTCTTCTGCCTCACTGTAGGACACTTGTGCCTCTGGGCCTTTGCACTTATGCTTTGCCAGACACCCACATGGCTCCTTCCCCTTACTTAAGGTCTCTTCTTAGATGTCCTTGGGTGCCTTAATCCTGCCACTTCCCTCTAGTCCTTCCTATCCTTCCCATGCTTTCTGCTCACTAGAACGTTACAGGCTTCTCTTGCTTTTGTCTGTTCTGCCCACTAGTGTATCAACTGAATGAGGACTGACAGTCTGTTGAATCAAGAGTGGACAAATGTTTTTACTTACCATCATGTTCCTGGTACCCTGGCACAGTGCCTGGCATACAGTAAGCAATCAGTAAACACCCATTGAATGAATGATGCCCACCTCTTACAGTTTCTGCCATTCTCTCGGAAACCTTTGGCAAAGGGATTGGCTGCAATCTTCAGCTGTGTGATCTGAGGACACACGTCATCCAGGTCAAGGCCCCTGTAGCTTGGATAGGGCACTGCCCCTCCCTCAAGCAAGGTCACTCACCCTAGGGTTCTGGTAGGCTGTCACAGAGATGAATGTGGTCTCAGGAAATCTGAAGGAGGCCACACCCCCCCAGTGTTGGCTGCAAAGCTGGGTGGCCCTCACCAGGTGGATTCTAGGCTGGTACTTGTGCATGGAGTGCAAGATCAGCTGGGAAGGAAGAAATGGGGCGACTCCTTGGCTTGGGCCCCAGACTTAGCCTTCCACCCAGTACCACCCTAAAACCCTGTCAAAGGGTCCCCAGCCTGGGCCTCACGTGGCCATGGGGGTCCAGCGTGCTGTTGGTGAGCTTCACACGATGAAAGGATACTGGCTGCCTCATCCAATGGGCACCCGAGGCGGGGGAGTCAGGGTGAATGTAGACACGGTCGGGCAGGCGGGGCTCAGCCTTGCCACTAGGCTCCCAGTGCTGCCCCTGCCATCTGTACCGAGCCCCATCCACTGGAACCACATCCAGAAGGAACAAGTAGCGGGCTTCTGGATCCAGGCCAGTGACTGACACTCGGCAAGCAGGGAACATGCGCCTGCACAGGAGAGGAGGAAGGAAGAGGCCTGGAGCTACCCACTAGCAGAGGTGAGCCCAGCACCAGCAAAGGACTAGCAATAGGCACCTCAATTTTGGACCGTAACAGCAAGGGAGGTGTAGTTGGATCTTCAAGTGCAGAATCTAAGAGCTGGAAGGCTTATTCCATTTTACAGATGGGGAAATGGAACAGACAGGTTAGGGGCTCTGACAGGACTCAGCAGGTTCACCTCCCCACTTAGTCCTGCACCTTCACTCTCCACTCTAGTTACAGCATGGCACAGTCCTGTCTTAGAGCCCTTGCCACTTCCTGCCCAGGCTCCTGACCCCATCCCCTCAAACTCTACAGAGATGATGGTGACTACCCTTCTTCCTGAAGGCCGAGGAGTCTCTTGCCTTCACCTAGGTCAGCACGGACCCCTGTGGCTGCCAAGACCAACTTTCTTCAGAAATAATAGGTGCTGGGCCCTGGGGACAGGATTTATCTAGTTTTCCGGCCTTAGAGACCTTGCCAGTGTTTCCTCTAGGATGAGCTGGGACTTAGCCACATACTGACCCTGATCCTGGGCAGACTTTCCTGACACTGTTCATTGGCTGGTCCTTGCCCCTTCTCATAGGCTGTTTCTGAGTTAGGCCACATGCCAACCTATAACCCATCCATTTCCTTGCCCCAAGCCCAGACTGACCTTTCTGACCTTTAATAGAATGGCTCCCAAACCCAGCCACAGACTCTTCAGACTGATCCTTGAACCTGGATACAGTGTATCTCCTGTCTACCCAGAGTGGCAGACAGTGCCAGGCCACAGTCAGATTCTGCTCTCTGGGTTGTACTAGCCTTGGAAAAGCCCCTAAACATAGCTCTGTCCCCAGGAATTCTATTTTTTTCTAGAAACTGACTTGGTCATCCCTCACCTGCCAGCCTTGGTGATGATCATCTCTGTCCCCACAGCGCTGAACTCCTTCCACAGTTCCTGGTTCTCCAGGCTCAGGCTGACCCCAGGAAGCGAGTGAAGGGCCTCTGGAGGTGGCGGTGCTGTCTCAGGGCCCAGAGAAGATGGCAGAAGGGGCAAAGGAGGGGGAGCAGACAGAGTATGGGGAGCTGTCTCAATCCCAGAGAGGAAGCAATCCAGTTTAGAGGTATCCAAATCTGGAGATGTGGGAAGAATAAGGATCCAGGGGAGGGCCACATATTCCCAGTCTCCTGCCCCCTACCCAGAGTCAGCCGATCCAACCGCTCACCAGGGTAGCGGTAGCCCTCTGCCAGAGCAGGTGGGAAGCTAGAGTCTGCCCCAGGCTGGGGGTGTCCCAGACGGTAGCCAGTCCCCAGGGAGGGGTACAACTCTCGTGGATGGTACATGTTGTAGTTTCTTCTGGCCTTGTGTCCTGTTGCTAGAGTCCAGGGTCTAAGAGATGCCCCCTTTATAGCTCACAGCACAGCCTCTTCCAAGCCAGAGATCACAGCCCCACCCCTCCCAGGGGCCCTGGAGGTGGGTTGGAATGGAGACCCCTGGGGCCTCGAAGGGGTCCAAGAGGGGGCCGGATACCTGGGTACCCTCCCCTCTCCCTCACGACTTCACTAGTCCCGACCCCCTGCCCCCTCATTACATAATTAACTCCTCGGCCTGATTGATCCCTACGGCTAAGACAGGGATGCAGTTTGGCGCTTCCGGCCAGCTGGTCTCCGTTCCCACGGAGGGGGGAGCCCTGCTGGGGGCAGGGGTGGGATCTGGATCCTGGTACCAGGTCTAGGATACCTGGTTAAACCATAAAGCCCCAGACTTTCTGAAAGGTGAGCCCTCTGTTTTCTGAGCTGATAGCCAGACACTGGATATCTTCAAGAGTCCGCAGCAAAGGGCTAAAGCCTAGAGTTCTCCTTGGTTTACATTCTGAAAAACCTCCAAGTCTCAAAAGTTGAGGGGCGTGCACAGCTCCAGTGTGTGATATTGTGCTGGGGTAATGTCTCGCGCTGAGAAACACTTTAACTACATTTCCCAGTAAGCACCGCGGCAGACGTACACAAAGGCCACTGACAGGCTGTGCTGGGGTTGCTGGGAATTGTAGTCCAGACAGGGGTAGCAAAGTCAGAAAAGTGGTGGCTTTCCCGAAGCAGCCTTTTAGGCTCTAAAGACAAGACATACTTTGAGCAAGAGATCCGGGCATACACCAGTTTAGCCTAATGTCCCTATCCCATCACCCCTGCTGAGGCTCATAATGGAACCTGTCTATAGGAAAGAAGCCTGCCTGGATTCCAGGTCCCCTTCCTGTATTCCATGTGAGCCAAGGGCTGTCTCCATTCCATTGTTTTATTATTTACAAACGCTACAGAACGAGAACAGACACACTGCAGGTAGGAGGGATCCAGTAGGAGTTCACAGAAAGATAGTGCACCGGGGCCATGAGAGCAGCACACAGGCCATATCTATGGGACAGGCAGGACAGGAAGGGGTTAAAAAATGAGATCCAAGCCAGCCAGATCGCAGGGAGGTGCTGGGGGTGTAATCCCCCTCCTAATTTCCCCCCAAGGTCACAGTGCATGCAATAAAATATATGTACAGGAGCTGGATCCTTCCCCTGTGGGGGCCCTGAGGGTCCAGAGCTCCCTTCAGGAGGAGCGAAACCAGTGGCTCCCCCTGGCGGCCAGGCTAGGATGAAGCCACATGCATCAGGAGCTAGGTCAGTCCCAGCCGTTGTCTTTGATCATGTGGTTGAGTTCAATGATGTACTTCCCCTCTTTGTATTTCTGGCTGCTCTCAAAGGCTTGCTCCTGAAAGGAGAGAAAGGGATGCCATCCATGGACAAGACTTTTACCACTAGGCAATGGGGTTGGGAAATGTATGTGATTTGTCTTGTTTTATATATGAAAAAGCTGTGGCCCAGAGAAGCCCAGCTACCTGCCCACAAACACACAACTGGCAGATTGTTTCTTACAAGCAATAGAACTTTGAATCATGGGTACCTTCAGAACATTAATGACAGCTCCAACACGGAGGATATGGAAATACCTAGGAGACTTCATAGTTCAGGGATTGTAAACTGGTGGCCTAAGGGCCATTTCAACCTACAGGTAGTTTTGTTTAGATAGAATAGCGCTTAATATAAGTAAGTTTAGGGACTGGGGGTGCTTAGCATGTGGGAGGGCCTGGATTTGATACAAACACCATATTAAAAACACACATGCACACACAAGAAAACTTACATACCAAACTATAAATATACATGCTCAATTTTGCCCCAGCCTAATTTCCTTGCCCTAAATCTATGATGCCCATTTACAAATCCACAGTAACTTGTTGGCTTTCTAGATATTTGAGGGTTTTTGCTGTTTTTTGAGACAGGATTTATGTAGCCCTAGCTGTCTCTCGGAACTCACTATAAATACTAGGTTGGCTTAGAACTCAGAGGTCACCTGCCTTTGCCTCCTTTGCTTGGATTAAGGGCGTGTAACACCACATCCTGCTGACATTTGAGTTTGATTTTTTGTTTTTCAAGACAGGGCTTCTCTGTGTAGCCATGGAACTCATTCTGTAGACCAGGCTGGCCTTGAACTCATACACATCTGCCTGCCTTTGTCTCCTAAGTGCCACCACAGCCCAGCTGACATTTGAGTTTTTAACCCCTGATTTAGGCCACAGTTTTGGGAATTTCTGAGTGGCCAAGCCAGCTGTGCAGGGACACACAGAAAATTTGTGGCAAGGCCAAAGGTAAAAGTCAAGGTTAGGACTGTCTGTCTCTTTCTGGGCCATCCAGCTCAAAAAAGCCACTCCAAGTAATGCCTTGCCCAATTCCTTGGACATTCCCAAAAATATCCTCTGTGCTAGCTACTTATAATCTGATCCTCATAAATATCTTCCACACCAGGTAGTGGCTTTATGCTCCAATGCCAGATAAGAAAATGAGACTTGAGGTTGTGAAATCAGATGCTAGATAGCATCAGAAGCAATGTGAGCTGTGCAAAGGAGATCTGTGAACCTAATTTCCATGTTGCTGCAGGGTCTTGGGCAAATGCCCTAACATCTTCAGACCTCCCTGTCTTCTCGAATAGATTTTGCCATCAGAACTGGCGTAATGACTGAATGAGAGACTATAGGCCAAGTTTGTTCATATGCATGGCATATAAACATTCAATAAATGCTCACTCTACTGGCTCTTCTTCTCGAGGATAGGGGCACTAGAAGAGCAACATCCTCAAAGCTCTGTAGAATGAAGGGAACCAATGCCAGTCCAAGGGGGAAACTGTCCATTTTGCTGTGCTGGGCCAGTTCTACTCTGAAAGGTGCATGCTTTCCAGGAAGAAGGGATGTGAAGTTAGGTCAAAGGCCAGCCTGGGGACAGAGGTCATGAACTCACATATTTCCAGCCCAAAGTGGTCTTGCAGTTCTCGCAGTGGATGTCAGCGACAGCATGAAGACCTGTCAGCAGCACCCGCTCCTCTGCTGGCCCGCAGCCCACATTCACCCTGTGGGGACAAAGGGTAATCCCAGGGAGGGTCTTAGTAGCCCAGAGCCCCCGACTACCTAGTATGGCTAGTGAGCATGGCTTCCTGTCTGGAACAAGGGACCCTGGGAATCCCGGCTTGATGCCAGGGGTCACAGGTCACAACAGAGGTCAGGAAAAGAAAGGAAGGAGGTGAATACTCACACAGAGTTGAAGAGGTAGGCACGCCCCTGACTGCCCTGGAAGGACTGGAGGGTAGTGGGAAGACGAGAGGAGGGGGTTAGGGCTATTGGTGGGGAGTTGCCAGGCAGCCCATTGCCATTCTAGACTCCAATGTGGCCTGCTCACCTTGGAGATGAGGTCGTCGTGGTTGGCCAGGTGGGCACGGCAGTGGGCACAGCTATACCTCCGGTGACAGTCATCCAAGTAGGCCTGAAATGTCTTGGGCTTTGAAATCCGCACCATGGCGGGGGCCAAGGGCAGTGGCCCCACGCGGGGAGCGGCCCACGGGGAGCAGAGGGAGCCCAGTGCCTGTCAGGGAGGAGACGTGGACTGTCAGGACCAAAGCCACACATATGTAGGCAAGCCCAGAACTATGGGGACTCTGTCACACTTGGCTGCTCTCTCCTTTCCCTAGAGCCAACAATCTCACAAGGGACCAGAGTCATCTCAGTTTTGACTCACTGAGGAGGCCTCAGGTTGCATCAGCGGGTAAACTGAGGCTAGGAGGAGCTCCAGGTGAGTCACCCACCTGCTTCTGGCCTCACCCCTGCTGAGCTGGCATCTGAAATGGGAAGGGGCTTCAGAATAGATGGCTTGCCAGTTTTCAGTTTCGAGGGAGTATGGGGGGACAAGGAACTGAATGGTCCTTGGGACTCTCATTTGGACTAGGGGCAGAGCAAATGTGGGGTACATGGAGTTCGCTAGGGGAAAGGGTCTCACACCTGGAGGAGGCAGAAGGCCTTCCCAAAAGGAGGAGGGTCCTCTAGGGAGAGGAGGGGCTTTTACCTGGAGGCGCTGAGCCTCATCTCTGCCAAGGGGATCTTACCTGCATCGCCAAGCCTTACCTGAGACCCCGGGGCTCACCTGGGGCGAGGGGATGGGGGCGCGCGCGGGGGAAGGGGCAGTCCTCGCTTGCGGGGCGGGGGCCACGCGCAGCGACGTCGGTGCAGACCTCACCTCGCCTGGGCGCGTGGAGGGCCGGGTCTGTGGGGTGGCCTGGCCTGGGAGTGGGGGGCGCTCCTGATGGGCGCCGTCCCCCCCGGCCCGGTTCGCAGCCGCCTCGACTTGTTTACACCGAGACCAGCTGCTGCCGCGGCTGCGGCGGGAGGGGGAGGGGGCCGGCCTCCTGTCCCGGCGGCCGCCGTAGCCAATCGGAGTGCCGCATGCAAATGAGGGGGCGCGTCACACGGCGGCCAGCGCAGGCAGGCAGAACTGCCCTTCCCCCTGCTCCCAGCTTTGGTTTGCCTGCTCGCCCGGAAATGCGGCTGCGACCCGCAGTCTAGCCCGGCGGCCAGCCTGTGCCCGGCTTGATTGAGCCTTTAGCTACCCCCGGTGCGCGAAAAGACAAGAATTCCAACCTGATGTGGGGTTAGTAGAAGATGGTATCTGTATGCACACTCCCGAGAAATAGTCGTAATTGTCTTCGTTTATCCACTGGCCAGTCTGGTAACCCTGCCACGATCCCGCAGTTCCTCCATTTGACCAGGTTCTGAGGTTTGGAGAAGAGATCCTCTCCAGAGATTATCCAGATGGTAAGAGTCAACGTTGGAATTCTCACTTTTCCCAAACCCGTGGAACAGACCCTTAGACGGGAATGGCTAAAGGTGTCGTTTTGCTAAGTAGACTCCCAGGAACCAAAGCTTTAGGACCCAGTCTCTGCTGCTGGGCATCTTCTCCAGGAATCCTTTGGTATGCCCGGCCTCCAGGCTACTGGAGGTCTGACCCCAGTGTAAAATGTCTGTTTTAACATGTGTTTGGCATACATAGACTTGTGTTCACTGTAGAGCCCCAGTACCCAGCAGGCCTGAAAAGTACTGCATTGGGAACATTCATTAAATGAGTTAAGTCCCGGTGTTGGAGGTCAGAAAGTGGACAGTTGGTACAGTGGGGGAGTCTGAGTTCACCCATGCCTGCCTGCTGCAGCCCAGTGTGTAAGGAAACCACCAGCAGCAACGTTAGAGAAATCAAGTCCCTTGTATGCCTGGGTCTCTTAATGGCTCCAGGAAAACGACTCATCTATGGATCTCTAGAGTCTGGGGCCAGGACACACCTGAGATAGCATGCTTGAGAGAGGAGACCAAACTGGCACAGGGAGTGTAGTACCACTCTACTGGTCTGGAATGCAGTGGGACAAGTGGCCCAGCCTAATTAGACTCCCAGAATTGGGGGGCTTGGGGGATTCCCACTTTGTAGCCCTGGCATCTAACTCAGAGGTTCACCTGCCTCTGCCTCTCAAGTGCTGAGCTTAAAGCTGTTCATCACCAGACCCAGCTCATCCTAGCTTTTCTTGATCTCTTTAAACATGTTGTGTACCCTCCCATGCAAGACATAGAACCCAGAGTTGCATTCATGGTATGCAAGCACAGAATCATTACATCAAATCCCCATCTTTATAAGTCCAGAATTGACCCTCCAACTCTCCATCCATGAAAGCATTTATTTTTAAAGAGAAAGAGAGGATGGGGCCTCAGATTGAGGAGGCAGGGGCCCTTGGGTCTTCCTTCTTGTCCAGGTACTGTCTCAGAGCTGTGGGGAAATCTGTCATGACGCCATTGGCCCCCAGGTTGAAGGCCACTTCAAAATCTGACTCTTCATTAAGGCACCAAAATAGCACCTGAGCAGGAAGAAGGGGCCAGGTTAGCTTCCAAGTTAACTTCCAGGAGTTGGCACCCACTCTCCTGCACAGACCTCCCAGCAATGGTGAGTTGGAGATGATAGTTACCTGTTTAGGAATTTTCCAACTGATTAGTAAACACAGCTATTATTTAAGGATAGTGGTGGCGCACACCTTTAATCCCAGCACCTGGGAGGCAGAGGCAGGCAGATCTCTATGAGTTTGAGCCTGGTCTACAGAGCTAGTTCCAGGACAGCCAGGGCCACACAGAGAAACTCTGTCTCAAAAAACCAAACCAAACCAAAGAAGCTATTATCAAAACTTAAATTGCATGATCTTGGAGATAAGTGTCACAGTGTATGTCTATAACCCTGCACTTGGGAGGCTGAGGCAAGAGGGTGAAAGAGTCTGAGCCATCTGGGCTACATGAAGTAGCTGGCCAGCCAGAATTATATAGCAGGACCCTGCCTCGAAAGTAAATAAATACATATAAGTGCATGAACTCAAAATTAAGGACAGTCTCAGCACTCAGAAGGCAGGGACTGTGAATTCCAGGCCAGCCTGGTCTACAGAGTGAGTTCCAGGTCAGCCAGGGAGACACACAGAAACCCTGTCTCTGAAGAAAAAAAAAAGTAAAATCCAGGTGTGGTGGTACATGTTTGTTTTTATAGCACTGGGGCAAGAGATAGGAGGAAAAAGTTCAAGGACACCTTCTGCTACATATGGAGTTCAAGGGCCAGCCTGGGCTAATTGAGACCTGTCACAAACAACCCAAGGGGGGGGGGGATGTTGCTTAATGGTATAATGCTGGCCTGGCATGTGCAAAGCCCTGGGTTTGATCCCCAGTCCTGCAAAACAAAATACACAACCCAGTGAATGACTCAGCAGGTAAAGGTACCTGAGGGCCCGAGACTGATCCACAGGATCCCCATGGCGGGAGGAAAGAACTGATTCCTGTAACTTAGTCTGATCTCCACATGCACCCTGCGGGATGTGCCTCCCCCCAGATAAATGTATATATATTTAAGTTAAATACTTAACGGCTCATCACTAATTATTTTACAGTTCCCTATGGCCTCTTCTCTCTGTTAGGGTCTCTTGTAACCAAGCTCTCCTCAAACTATGTAGCTGATGATGACCTCAAACTTCTGTCCCTGTTCCAAGTGCTCAGGTTACAGGTGTTACCTCTATGTTACCTGTTGTTTTCGCTTTGGTTTTTGTTGTTCTTTTTATGATTTGTCTGTATCTGTTTAAACTTTTAAAAAGGTTTACTTCTTTATTTTAGGTATGAGTGTTTTGTCTACATGTATGTCTGTGTACCCACAGAGGTCAGAAGAGGGCATCTGATCCCCTGGAACTGGAGTTACAATTGATGGTAAACTGATGATTATGGGTGCTGGGAACCATACTTGGGTCCTCTAGAAGAGAAGTACATGTTCCCAAGCGATGAGCCATCTGCTAGTCCCATTACCTGTAAATAGAATTAACTGGCCTAAATAATAAACTGTCTGGGGTCAGATATAGAGGAAAATGCTAACAGGTCAGAGAGAAGGAGCAAGCCACAGCCACCTTTACCTCATTAGCTTCCCAGTGGAAAATTCCTTATATCCTCTCTCTGCCCAGCCATCTCACTTCCTGTCTGTCTACACAGACTTCCAGACCTCTATGGTTAGCTAGTGGCACATTCCATCCTCTGATCTTCAGACAAGCTTTATTTGTATAAGCGTGGTATCACCATGATTACATCATTTTTTTTTCCTGGTGCTGGTGACTGAACCCAGGACTTAGTGGCTACTTGGCAAGCACTCTACCAACTGGGCCACATCCCCAGCCATTGGTTTTTAATTTTTAAAAATTAGATTATGTTGATTTATGTGGGGCACCTAAAATAAAGAAGTAAACAGGTCAAGCTCAGATGGTCAGATTTGACAGCAGAAGCCTTTAGCCACTGAAGCATCGTACTGCTATCCTTGTTTATCTGTGTTTTGTTCTTTTGCGGCAGGGAGTATTATGTAGCTCAAGCTGGTCTAGAACTCGCCATCTTCCTGTCTGTTTCCCAGGTATTATGTGTGTGAGCCCCTGCCCCTGGCTGACATGGCATTTATTCCAGGAAACTGACTGGCTCTCTGGATGTCTTGGTTTCACAGATGAGGTCAGAGAGGAGAGTGGGCAGATAAAGAGAAGTGATTCTTCCTTGTCCCCCACTGACACCAGATTCAGGCAGTAGCTAAAAGCCTGGCCTCTCCTGTGTTAACTGTTGCATCTGTCCCCATTGCTGTCACCCGTTTGACTCCTGTCCACGGCAGTATCAGGCTCTTAATGACACGCTCCTTCTGCCCCCACCGTCACCTGGTCCCCACGTCGTAGACAAAATGGGTCCTGCTCTAGGAATCTATTAGAATCAGGTTTCCTGGGGCAGACCTTTAGGAGCTTTCCTCTCCTCTCTGAGTGCTGAGCATCATGACCCTGTCACACACGAGGCCAGTGGGTCTGATCTCCACCGCCCTTAGCCTATAGAACCCACCCAGTTTCTGAGTCAGGCCTCTTGCTTCTCCAAGCTTTAGTCTTGTAGATGCCTTTCTGTGATGCCCTCCCAAAGCACTGTCCTCCCCCATCCTTCTAACTGATCCAGCCTCCCTCTGTACATGGCTCCTGTCCTTTGTGATGACATCACATCCCTTGTGGGGTTGACAAGTTAATTTCTTTTTGATGGAAAGTTCTCATCCCAGGTAAATGTGTGGAAACATCTCAATGAGGATTGCTGGTTTAATGTCCAGAGCCAGGCTCAGTGGTTCATGCCTGCAACTCATTAGGGAGGTTGGGGCAGAAGGATTGCCATGAGTTTGAGGCTAGCCTGATCTACATAAAATACTAGGGGCTGGAGAGATGCCTCAGTGGTAAGGAGCACTGGTTGCTCTTCCAGAGGTTCTTGTTTGGTTTTCCAGCATCCACATGATAGCTCACAGACATTTTTAACTACATTTCCAGGGGATCTGACACCCTCTTCTGGCCCTTTGGGTACCAGGCACTCATGTGGCACACAGATATACATGCACACACGCGCACACACACACACACACACACAAATTCATACATACAAAATAAAACAATAAAAAAATGAAAACAAACCAACCAAACCATGGCCAGGCATAGTGGTACTTGCCTTTAATCCCAGCACTCAAGAGACAAGAGTGTGTGAGTCTGAGGCATGCTTGATCTACATAGCAGGAGTTATATTTATATGATGAGACCCACCTCAAAACAAAACAAAGAGGGGGCCAGTGAAATGGTTCAGCAGTTAAGAGCACCCGCTCCTCTTCTAGAGGAGCCACATTTGATCCCAGTATGCACTATCTGTAAACCCAGCTTCAAGGGATCTGACACCATCTTCTGGCCTCAGTGCTTACCAGATATATATGCAGGCAAAACACTTACTACACATAACTTAATACACAGAACAAAAGACCCCACCAAAACCCAAACCAATGTCCA